GCCTTTGCGACCACGGCGGCGGCGGCATTCCTCGTTCAACCAGGTGAACCGGGAGTTCCCGAAGTGGGCGGCCGAGTGGGCGCGCGTGCTTGTCCCTGGCGGCGTGGCGCTGGTGGTCACGATCTGCAAGAAGGTCGTGGAGGACAAAACGCTGCCGCCCCTGCAGAGGCGCGGGCTGCTGGAGCTGGAGCAGGCCGTGGAGAAGCAACAAAAACAGCCCTTGCAAAAACTTCCAGAGGTCCGCGCGGTCGGCGCGGAACCCACCTGGCGGCGCCTCCGGCGCCGCCCCTGGCGCGCTCGGCGCGCCAGGCAGGGGGCTCCAGCGCCGATCCAAGAAGTCCGCACGGACTTTCGAAGGTTTCGGTCTGTGCAGATTCTTCGGGCGACGACATCTACACGCATCCACTACTCCCTGGCCGGGCCCACCCCGAATCCAGGAGTTGGGTGTACGCCCTCCTGGCCAAGCCAGGAGGGCGTGGCGTATACACCTCTACTGGGTTCGGGGTGGGCCTCGCCAGGGAGCAGTGGACAGGTATAGATTTCGTCGCCCTGATTTCAGGAGGGGGAAAAACACAAAGACACAACGAATCGTCGATCCTCCAGAAGATGCGGGACAGGATGGGAAATGGGAGGGGGAGACAGAAACCCAGAAAGTATGGGGAAAAATTGGGAATCCTGCTATTTGTGTCTATTTTCGGCGTCGCCCCAACATACTAATACTATGTGTGCGTCGCCCCCCCCCCCCCCCCCCCAGGGGCGACGCGCGCACCGAGAAATCTTATAGTATATGCGTCGTGGCGGGTGCTTTCTGGCCACACCGCTCGGGAAACGATGTACTACAAGATGAGCAGACGATATATACATATATATATATATGTGTGTGTATATATATATATATATATATATATATATGTTTGGGTCGGACGCGCGTCTCCGAGGAGAACACATTGTACTAGTATGTCTTTGTGCGTCCCGTATTTGTTTGTGTGTCCCATGGCCCCCTCACAAAGTCTCTCGCCCCGCAGGCCATGCAGTTCGACAACAAGGGCTACACGGTCTGCCGGCTGTACACGCTGCGGAGGCCGCGCGGGGGCCCCGCGCGTGGCGGATCGGTGGCTCCAAGGTGGGATCCTGGAGCGATGGGGGTCCCGAGGACGGGGCTGAAGTTCATCGCCCACTGAATTATTTTAATCCAACCCGAAGGTCTCAATTTGCCCTCCATTTCCAGTGGGGGGGGGGGTCGGGGAACGTCGAGACAACACATATGGAACCCGTACCCCACCCAACCCGAAATTCGGGTCTTCGGGTTGGGTTGGGGTGGTCTGGTAGGTAGTCAGAAGTCGGGCACATCCCTCTACAGGAGGAATGCTCACAGTAGTCAAAAGATGGTCTGGGGACGATTTTTTGATTATCTGCTGCAGGTTTTGACCATCATCTGTTTGTCGTCCCAGATACCGCCTGTAGGAGGACACGCCCGACCTAATGCGAAGGACGAGGCCGCCCAAACCATGCAAAGCCACCCCTGGATCCCTTCCTGTCCTGAGGCCCCCCTCCCTCAGGACCCCATCCTTGAACCACCGAGCGGAGCAGCGGCTGCGGACGCAGGCGCCGTGGACGCCGGTGCGGCAGCTGCACCGGGCGGCGCGCCGGTGGCAGCGGATGTCGGCTGCACGGTGAGGTGGCCCTGCGCCGGAGTGTTTTGGGTGCGCGTCCTTCGGGGGGAGAGGGGAGGGCCAGGCCCGGGCACGCAGGCCGCTGCTGCGCCCCATCGCAAGCAGCGGTGGACCGGCCGCGCACCGGAGGGCACGCTGATGCGCAGGGCCACCCCTTGCGTGCAGCCGAGGATGGAGCCGCCTCCGCCGCTCACAACTGCAAAGAGTGTGTGGCGGAGGGTTTGCCGGCGTCCCAACGGTAAAACGCACGCCCTCCGCCAGCCGCTGCCCTGCCGACTCCCGCCCGCCACAACAAATACGAATCTATATATATATATATATATATCTACACACAGAATATATACATACCATACACAGACACCCTCCAGCGGATTGCTCGTGGGCCTCAGGGGAGGGAGGCGGTGTGAAAATCACCACTGAGAGCCAGCGGCTTTCTGCACCGCCACCCCATCTGAAGGTACGCGCAAGGTGCGTCGGAGGGTGCCTGAGAATCTGTTTTCGTGGCGTATCCCACGCTCTCGCTCTCTCTCTCTCTCTCTCTCTCTCCATGCTCACGCTTCAAGAGGGCGCAGCCAGCGCCCAGAGGTGCAGCACCAGACTGAGCCAGTCATACTTTTGGATTCGCCGCGCTGAGTCTTGCGTGCCAGCAGCCAGGGACCTGAGCTTCGCGCGTCGCTCCGCCGGCTCTGGCCCAGCACGCCTCGGCGCGACACGCCGTCCACATCCCCATTCTCCCGACCGCCAACTTTCGTGGCGTGTCCCAGGCTCTCTCTCTCTCTCTCTTTCTATGCTCACGCGGCAGCGCAGAGCTCGTCGGAGGGTGCCCGCCGTGTGTGCACCCTCGTGGCGAGCCGCGCCCTCGCCCGCGCAGGCGGCGGGGGCGGCCGCGCGCAGCCCCTCGGGCGTGTGCCTCCCGCCGTGCCTTCCCTCTGAAGCCGCCAGCCGCGCGTCCGGCCCCTCGCCGCCCGCCCCTCCCCGCCGCCCCCCCCCCGCGTGCGCCGCCGAGTCGCGGGCCGCGCAGCTGCGGGGGGAGTGCGCGCAGCTGGAGGAGGAGGCGGCCGCCCTCGCCGGTGCGTGCGAGCCTCTCTCTCTCTCTCTCCCCCGAGGGCCTGCCTCCTCCCACGGGGAGGGTGCAGGACGGGAGGAGGAGGAGGAGGAGGAGGCGGAGGAGGAGGAGGCGGCGGAGGAGGAGGAGGAGGTCTAGGAGCAGGAGGAGGAAGAGGAGGAGGAGGAGCAGGAGGAGGAGGCAGGAGGAGGAGGAGGAGGAGGAGGAGGAGGAGGAAAGTAGGAGGAGGAGGAGGAGGAGGAGGAGGAGGAGGAGGAGAAGGAGGAGGAGAGGCGGAGGAGGAGGAGGAGGAGGAGGAGGAGGAGGAGGAGCTGGAGGAGGAGGAGGAGGGGGAGGGGGACTGTAGCGCAGTGGTCGTGCTAAGCCCTGGGCCGCTGGACGGGCAGCGGCGACCTGCCGCCCGGCGCCTGCCAGGCCAAGGCCGCCCTGAAGTTCTGGGCAGCACCCATGGGGTTGTGGTGCGCGAAAGCGGATTGTTCCGAATCTGGTCGTCGTTGTCGCCCTCGTCGTCGTCGTCGTCGTCATTTTCGTCGTCATTTTCGTCGTCATTTTCGTCGTCGTCGTCGTCGTCGTCGTCGTCGTCGTCGTCGTCGTCGTCGTCGTCGTCGTCGTTGTTTTCGTTTTCGTCTTCGCGTCCGCGCAAAGGGGGTAGAATGGCCCCCTGGCACTTCGTCGTGCCATACCGTGTTCGATTCACATCTTCAGATTAGAAAAGGAATCCGCATTCACATGCAGGTTTGGGGGGGGCAGTTCAGCCCGACTGGTGAAGGGAACGATTCTGCAACAAACGTGTAGGAGCCACTTCGCACGACCCCCCTCCGCAACCCAGCCATACTATTGAACAAGCGTTCCCTTCGAAGAGGGGCCAGAATAATCTCGAGCCAAACATCTTTACGCAATATTTGCCAATGGTGAGGCCCTGTAGGGAGGGGGGAATTAGGTTCGTGCTAATTCGGGCGTTGTTGTTGCACAGTTGTTTCCTTCATCCGCCATTTTGCATCGCCCGGCGATGACGGGCGTTACCTGGGGGCGGGGAGGTGGGGAGGGGGGGGGGGCCCAGTAATGTTATGACTCGCGCCGGCGCCGTGCGGGAATGCCTGGGCAGGATTGGGCTGGTCTCCAGACGGCTCCGCGCCAAGGGCGGGAAGTGGGGGGGACGTTGGGTCCTGTGACGGGCGTCGTCGCGAGTGCTCGACAGGGATATGTGGGCAGGAGGGGCGGCGGCCCCGGCGGCTGCCTCCGGGCGGCGGGCGTCGGTGGAGGCTGCGGCGCGTGTTGGGCGCGAGCGGGCCCGGCCAGCCACAAGCGGGGCGCCGCTCGGCGCTGGACCTGGCGCTGGACCCCCCCTCCCTGGCGCGCGGAGCGCGCAGTGGGGCGTCGCCGGAGGCGCCGCCGGGGGGCCCCGGCGCCGATCCGAGAAAGCCGCGCGGACCTCCGAGCTGTCATGTTTGTGCCACTTTTTGTTCCCCTGAGCACCAACTTCGGCGGTGTGCCTCCACCGAGGGAGGAGGATCCCGACCTCGGCGACGGCGGTGATGTTCTGGCTGCCGAGGTGGCCGAAGCGTTACCACCAAAACACCGGAGTCTAGGGTCGTCTTCATCCTAGGGAGGCAACCCCCTTGCGTTGGTGTTGGTGCCCATGTTCAGGCCTCCAAAGGTGATCGTGTTCTTATTCATTGTTTTGCCGGTCGGCGCGGGCCCTCGCACCTCCCTCTCCCCCCCCCTTCCATGGAGTGGATCTTGGCTGCTTTTGGCGCCTGCTTCACGCAGGTGGAGGCGTCCCCCATGGGACGCGCTGCTGCAACTAGTCGCATTGAGCAGAGGTCCGGAGCACGACGCCCCCCCCCCTCGCCCCCCCCCCCTTCCGCCCAATGTCGAAGCGCCGAAATAGAAAATGTTCACAAGGCCAGATTTCTGAAAAGCGGATCTCTAGACCTATTCATGCATCAGGGTTTTTATCAGCATAAACATAGACGTTCGACGGCCCGCGCGGCTTTTTTTATCTGCGCTGGACCCCTCTCTCTGGCGCGCGGAGCGCGCCAGGGGCGGTGCCGGAGGCGCCGCCAGTGGGCTCTAGCGCAGATCCAAGGAACTCGCGCGGAGCTCCGAAAGTCTATGCTTATTTGTTGCTCTAAGTACTACCGTAGGACCGAGGTATAAGATCGAGGTCGTTTCGGGGAGGGGACCCTAACGTTCTTCGTGCTTGTTGGATGTTTTTGTGCATCCTAGGGGAGGGTACCCTCCGAAAGGTTGTGCTTGTGTTCGGAAACTGGAACATATACATTACCAGTGGTGGGCAGTTTCTTGAATCCCAGGACTTTTTGAGGGTCGGGGACGACGCTGGGGTGGTTTGGTGTATACTTTTTCCCCGATGTCCCGGGGAAACAACGAAAAATGTATACACCACGATCCCGTATACACCAGAATCCGTGTTCCTGGGCGAATTTCAGCGCAGGGTCGGGAAAAGCGTCGGTGCATAGAGTTCGTTTCCCTATATGTTGTATCCATTCAACGGCGTCCAAGACGGCGGCGACCACGACGACGGCGAAGACAACGGCGACGACGGCGGCCGGGTCCCACGGCGGCGGCGACCGCGGCCTGTGGCGAGATCGGAGCGCCGCGGCGGCCGCCTCCTGGAAGGGGCGGCGCCGGCGGCAGCGCCCACCAGACGGAGAAACCCACACCCGTGCTTTTTGGAGAGCTCGTTTTGGAAGGGGCGGCGCCGGCGGCACCGCCCACCAGACGGAGGAACCCACACCCGTGCTTTTTGGGGAGCGCGTTGTGGGCGGGCGATGATAATTCGGGGGGCAGCGAGGGCTGCCGCAAAGGGGCCCTTCCGGGCCCCTGGAGGGGCCCTTCAGGGCCCGGTAGGGGGCCTGGAGGGCCCGAAGAGGGCACCTTCCTTCTCCCCCTCCCCATGAACTGATTCGCGCCCAGGCGTTGAGAACCCCGCGTCCCCAATCTCGATGTCGAAAACAGGTGTGTCAGTTCCGAGGCGGGGATTCATCCATAACCACCTCCTGGGGGATCGATCATATGGATGCGGATACGGGTATGAATATGGATATGGATATGGATAGAGAGAGAGGGATCAATCGATATGTTATTTGGTGATATATATATATATATATGTATATATGTTGGCCCCTTGGGGCCAACACATATCCACATTCACCGCCCGCCAATCAGGTCCCCAGGACGTCGGCTCCCATGCGGCAGGTCGGGACAACTCCCCGCCTCGAGTCAGTGGTGTTGGGTTCTGGGCGCTTGCTGCGCCGATCCGCTCGTCCTCGGCCTCGATCGGTGGGTGGCGTCGCGGCCGGCCTGCCGCGAGGAACAGCCATCCAAAACCCTGACGCTTTGCGGGCGGCCCCGTCGGCGCAACGTCTTCGGATGGCCGCTCTTTTACGCCAGCAGCGGTGGGCCAGTGGCCGAGTGGGGCTCGCTGGGCGCGGCCCCGCTGTCTCGAAGAAGAGCAGTAATACGATCAGTAAGAATACGAATAGTAATGCGACTATTTGTAAGATCGTTAAGAATAACGAGAATAATATTAATGCGAGCACGAATGCTAATAATAGTACGAATCGGGATAATAGTAATTATGATCGTGGTAATAGCAATAATAATGACAATAACAGTATATCAGTATTGCTACTAGTACTAAAAACGACAATAACAGTAATAATCGTATTCGTAGATATACACTTGTAAGAAGTATGATCAAAATAGTGCTGAGAAGAAGAACGACTGCATAAACATAAACTTTCGGAGGTCCGCGCGGATACCTCGGATTTGCGCTGCTGAGCCCCCTTGGCTGCGCTTGCGGCGCTGCTCTTGGCGCGCTCCGAGCTCCAGGGAGGGGGAACCGGCGCCGATCCACGAAATCCGTAGGTACCTCTGAAAGTTTCCGGTTCTGCAGTTTTTTCTTCTGATGTCAGGCTGCGCAGCGGGTCCGTTGGCCCACCCACGCCAAACCTGAAGTATCTTGTGCCCCGCTGGAACGAGAAACCCGTCGGAGAGGAGAGGGGGAGATTCGAAGCATTTCTGTCGTGCTCTCACCCATTTGTCACTTTGCTCTTCTCTCTTCCTCATCTTTTCGCTCTGCACTGCTTGCCGCCCATGCTTTTCATTCCTTGCCGCCTTGTCTGCCTTGATTCGCTTTGTTTTACCTGGCTCTATCTGTCTTGCCTTGTTCTGCTTTTCCCTTCTTGATTGTGTTTGCCTGCGTGCCTGCATGTTTGCCCTGTCTACAGGGAGACTTGCGTGATTAGAACGGCTCCAGAACATATCTGACGTCTGAGTGGCGGTGGCCGGTCAGGAGATAAGTCGAATAGGAGTACAGGCGATTCAGAAGTCAAATGCAATAATACACTCGCGTATGCAATACATATGAGTAGTATGTATCAGAGTGAGGGTGCCGAACGGTCATCCACTGTCCCTGGGTGCGTGCTGAAGTGGGATTCCGCGATGCGGATTGTTGTTGTTGTTGCTGCTGTTGGTGTTATTGTTGCTTCTGCTGCTGTTGTTGTTGCTGTTGTTGTTGCTGCTGTTGTTGGTTGTTGGTTGTTGTTGTTGCTGTTGTGGTTGTTGGTTGTTGTTATTGTTATTGGTGGTGGTGCTGTTGTTTGGTGTTTTGCTCTTGTTGCTGTTGCTGCTGTTGTTTGTTGTTGTCGTGTGATGTTGTTTGTTGTTGCTGGTGTTGATGATGCTATTGTTGTTGTTGTTGTTGTTGTTGTTGTTGTTGTTGTTGTTGTTGTTGTTGTGTGGAAGTTGCCGTGTGGTTGTTGTTGTCGTTGGTTGTCGTCGTCCCTCCCGCGACCTGGCCCGCGACCCATCCGCAACCCACCCGCGACCCACCCGCGACTCACCCGCGATCCACCCGCGACCCACCCGCGACCCACCCGCGACCCCCCCAATTTGCTTTGGCGAAAAAGTTGGCGCTTGCGGCGGGCTCGTTGCATAATTTGATTTTGAATCGGCGCCTGCGGCGGGCTTCTTCAGAGCCTCGCAGGCTGCCGACGACCCCGCCGCCCCCTCACTCTTATCCACCACTTCGGGATGCTACGTACATGTATGGGTTGTACCGCGTGGGATGCGACGTTTTGGGTGTCAGGGCGGTGTTGAACGTATAGGCGCAGTGTATGGGGTGCAGCATGTTGGGTGCGATGCTTGAGGTGCAACTAGTGGGTTGCAATGCATGGGGATCGTGGGTTGGAATATCAATAGCCTTCGGCCAATCCCGCCACCGTTCCTGGGTTGTGGCTAGGAAGCCTACTGGTTGTTCGTTGGGGTCTCGTGGGAAGGCCTCTCGGGGGCCTCTTGGAGGCAGTTTGGAGGCCTCTTGGGGATTGTTTGGGGGCCTCTTGGGGGCCGTCGTGGGGCTTCTTCGGGCCTCTTTTGGACCCTCTGGGGGCCTCTTGGTGGCCTCTTGGGGGCCTCTTGGGCGCCTCTTGGGGCCTCATGGGGGACTCTTGGGGCGGAAGACTCGGATTTTCGTGGTCCCTCTCTTGGGCTGTTTCGGGCGCCTCTCGGGCCGTCTTTGGGCCCTGTTGGGCCTTTGGGGGCCCTCTTGGAGGCATGTTTGGGCCGTCTTGGGGGCCTCGAGGGTCGTCTGGGAGCGTCGGGTAGCCGAAACGGCTAGAACGCCACAAACTTTCAAAACCTAAGGAATCTCAATTGTGTTTGGCCTCTAAGGGCCCTCTTGTGAGGCCTCTCGGAGGCCTCTTGGGGCGTCTTGGAGGCCTCCTGGGCCGTCTGGGGGCAATCTTGAGCGTCTTGGAGCGATCGTTCGGCGACTCGGGGCCCTCTTGGACCGTCCTGGGGGGCCTCTTGGAGCCCTTTTGGCCCAGTTTGGGGCCCCTCTTGGGCCCCAGAGAGTCCCGCGACAAGGTGCGGGGGAACCCAGGGGGCACGCGGAAAACCCCGGTAGGTTTTGGAATTTTGGTTCCATGCTCCTTAGAGACTCCCCAGGGTTGAGGACTGAGCCTTTCCAGGGACCAGGCAAAGGACCCGAGGACTTGCCCACTCCGTGACCAGAGGCACAGTGGCGGATATGGGTTTCATCTCTGCAGTGGAACGTATAGGGTGTATCGTTTGTTCTTTGGGCCAGGTGGCAGTGTATGGGATGCAGTCTATTCGGTGCAACGCATGGGATGCAGTCCACGGGACACAACCCACCGCGCAACCTCGCGCAGCCCACCGTGGAACCCAGCGACGCGCGATGCACCGCTCAACCCACCGCCCAATGCACCGCGCAGCGACGGCCACCACGGCCAGAAACCGGGAGCGCGGGGTCGCCGCGCCACCCACCGCGCAGCCTGGCCACGGCCACCGCCAGAATTCAGCAACGAGGGCCAGTTCCTTTGGAACACGGGTTGACCCCCTTCAGGTTTGCCAGTATTCTCTTGGGTGTACCGGCCTATCCGCGTTTCCAGTCCGCACCTCGACTACGAGAATTCAGACGCATTTTGCGGCGACTGTCTACACAAGCCAAAGTTTGGCAGTGCGCAGGCATTGTGGTGCACACATGCGACCGAGGCGTTGTTGTGCACACCCTTGATGCTACAGCATCTCTGGTGTGCACAGACATTCTGGTCACCACAAGCGGTGTGGTGCGTGCACACGGCTGTTGTCGTGTACACGTGTGCCGTGGAGTAGATTGGCGTTGTGGTGGGCACGCATGCTTTTGCAAGAGCGTCAGTGGTGTACAAAGTTAAGGTGGTGTATGTAATCACTATGGTGTACACAGGCAGTGTTGTTCATGCATGCGCGGTGGTGCACACAAGCATCTGTCGTGCACAGACGCGCTATTGTGTGCACAGGCGCTGAGGTGCACATAAGCAGTGTGGCGCAGTGTGGGTCCAGAACATGTGTGTGGGGGGGCCGTGCCTCGGGCCAGAAATCAATTACAACCGATAACGATCATAACGGATTTGATACGTTCGGATTCCCCGCGATTTTCTTGATTTTTGCCCCGTCGTGACTCTGAAGGTGTACACATGCTTTGTGCTGTACACAGGCACGATGGTGCACAGGCGCTGTGGTACACACGCATGGCGCTGAAGTAACAGTTGTGGTGCACACAGGCGATCTGGTGCGCACAGGCACGACACTGTGGTGCATACATGCGCTGTGGTGCAAATGGCTGCTGTGGTGTACACAGAAAGCCGTGATGTACACAAACGTTGTGGTGCACACGTATGCTGCTGCTTGGGTAGCTATGGTGTGCAACGGCTGCTTGGTGTACGCAGTCATTGCTGTGTGCAGACGCGCTGTTCTGAACACAGGTATTGTGGTGTCCACAGTCAGCGTGGTGTCCGCATGCACTGTTGGTGAACACAGGCGCTGTGGTGTGCACAGGCAGTATTGTGCACACGCATTGTGGTGTACAGAGGCACTCTGGTGTACGTAGTCATGGTTGTTCACACTGGCCCACTGGTGCGCACCAGCACTGTGGTGTTCACAGGCGCTGTGGTGCACGCAGGCATTGTGGCGCACACAAGCAGTGTGGCGTAGCCCAGTGGTCCCTCCGCGCGCGAAGGCGCAACGTCCGCTGCTCGTGGCCACTATCAGCAAGTCCCTGCGCTAGTCCCCGACGGACTCCTGCGTACAGCTGAACTCTAGCTGTCCTTGGCTCTTCCCAGGCCCAGGCATTCCCATGCGGCGCCCGCGCGAGACGTGACTTCTCTGGGAGGGAGGGGGGGGGGGGGCCTGCACAAGAACGGCCGTTCTCGCGAGGGAAAAGGAGCAGGCTCAGAGCCGTCGAACGCTCGGTGGAGCAGCTTCGAAACGGTGCCCTGTGGCTTCGGCTCGGCCCGTGCTCCTTGGGGGGCGCGAGAGGTCACTCCCTCCTGCGCGGCGGTCGGCACCCGACGCCCCAGGTGGAGCGCCTGGCCCGCGAGAAGGTCTCCCCCTTCCCGTGGAGAGGTCATGCCGAGGAGGAAGGGGAGGGTCAGGCCGAGAGCAGCTGAATGGTCCATCAGGCGGCTTCGTGCGCACTCGTGTGCCTGAGCGCGAGCGCACGCGTGCATGAGGTTGCGCGCTCGCGCGAGTGAGTGTGGATGCTTCTAGCGGGGTGCGTACATGGGTTGGCCGCTGCGCAGAATGCGTGTGCAAGCACCGCCGCCAGCGTTGCTGTCGCATACATTGCATGTTGCGCACCTGCCGAGACCGAGATGCCGTCTCCGCCGCGGCCGTCGCCGCTGCCCTCGGCCTCCGCAGTCGGTGCCGGTCGCCCCCTCTGGCTGGAGCCCGCCCCTGGAGCCGGGGCGCCCGGCCCGGCGATGCAGCCGAGCCGGGGCGGCCGCAGATGGGCGACTCCTTCGACGAGGTCCTCCTCCTCCTCCTCCTCCTCCTCCTCCTCCTCCGCCTCCTCCGCCTCCTCCTCCTCCTCCGCCTCCTCCGCCTCCTCCTCCTCCTCCGCCTCCTCCGCCTCCTCCGCCTCCTCCGCCTCCTCCGCCTCCTCCGCCTCCTCCGAGGTGCTCCGGCGGGCGGAGCGCCTCGTGCAGAGCTGCGCCACCTGGTCGCTGCCCGAGGAGGCGCCCGGGGGGGCGGCAGGCGGCAGGCGGCCGTGTCTGCGGGCTGCGAGCGGCGCGGGCGCGGGATTCCTGCCCTCCCCGCTGCGCCCCCGCTCCCGCTCCCGTCGCCCCCCCCCCCCCCCCCTCTCCCATGTATCGTCGACGGCCCGTGTCAGTGGTGGGAGCTGTGTTGCGGAACTCCAGCGGCACGGCCCGAGTCCCCCCCTCCTCCTCCTCCTCCTTCCTTCCCCTCGGCTGGCACTCTTTTCCTCGGCGCTGCGGCGCCACCGCCGGGCTCTCGCAGGGCTAGCGCCTCGCCTCGCCTCGCCCCCCAGAACGCCGACCCCCTGGCCGGCCTTGCTCCCCAGACCAGGGCTTGTCCGTGTTCGCGCCTTCGGCTTGCTCTCTGCAGGCGCCCTCTGCTGGCCTTCTTTCCCTGGCGGCGTCCCCTGGGAGCCGCAGGCAGGCGCTGCGCCCGCTTCACTTTCCGAGCTGCACCCGTCTTACTTGCCGACCTCCCACCAAGCTTCGGCGCGGGTAGGGCGGGAGCAGGACTGGAAAGGGGGAGGTGCTAGATTGTGGATGGGCAGCGAGGGGGAGAGGTGGAGGGTGGGACGGGCGGGGAGGAGGGGGTGGGCAGAGGCAGGGGCAGGCGTGACGTGGAAGGGCAGGAGTGGGTAGGGCGGGGTGGGCGGGCACCCCGTCTTGAGACGCTTGGCGCCCCCGCCTTGGCCCAGGGGTGGCGCGTGCAGGGAGACCCGCGCCCCCACAGCGGTGGCACCAGCTCCAGACGCCCGACTGGGGAGTGGGCAGGAAAGTGCCTGCTCGATGGGGTCTGGGCGCTCGCGGAGGCCGCGCCCGGGGCCAGGCCGGAGGGCAGCGGCCAGGACGCCCTGGAGCGCTCATTGCCAGGGGGAGGGGCGCCAGCCTTCCCCTGCGATGGAGGGGATGAGGATGAGGGGGATGATACAGAATGTGAATCTCAACATCGACAGAGCCCGATGGCTTCATATTCTTCAGGGGAAGCGTTGAGGTAAGCCCCACCATTTGCGCGAAAGTTTTTTTCGTAAGCTTCCGCGCACGGGCGCGCGGAAGCGCCCTCTCAATCCACGCGGTGTGCCGTGCTGGCTGGCGGCCCGCGTCAGCCGCGGCGTGAAATCGCTATGCCATCCTGCGTAGGACCCGTTGCTCTTTCCGGCGCCCGCTCCGATTTTTGGGCGTCAGCCTTCCAGGATCCTGCCCTCCGAGGTGGACCTGCCCTCCGAGGCGCCATCCGGTCAGCAGAGGTGGAGCCGAGCTTGAAGATCCTGCTCCTCCTCCCTCTCCTCCTTCTCCTCCTCCTCCTCCTCCTCCTTCTCCTCCTCCTCCTTCCCCTCCTCCTCCTCCTCCTCCTCCCTCCTCCTTCTCCTCCTCCTCCTCCTCCTCCTCCTCCTCCTCCTCCTCCTCCTCCTCCTCCTCCTCCTCCTCCTCCTCCCCCTCCTCCCCCTCCTGCCCAGCGAGGCGCCAGAGGCGCCGTGGCCGGCGGAGCGCCCCCCGGCACGGGAGCCGCAGCCCCCGCCGCCGGAGACGCCGTGGCCGCGGGAGCCGCTGCTGGCCGCGGCGGAGGCTCGCCCTGCCCCCCTCGGGGGGGGGGGTCCTCTGCGAGCCTTTGCCGTCGCAGCGCTCGTCCTCGCGTCGTCGTCGTCGTCGTCGTCGTCGTCGTCGTCGTCGTCGTCGTCGTCGTCGTCGTCGTCGTCGTCGTCGTCGTCGGCGTCGGCGTCGTCGTCGTCGTCCTCGTCCTCGTCGTCCTCGTCGTCCTCGTCCTCGTCCTCGTCCTCGTCCTCGTCCGCGCGCCGTCGGAGGGCGGCGAGAGCTCCGTTCGCGAGAGCGCTGGCCCAGAGTGCTCCGACACAGGTCTGGGAGCGCTGCAGAGGGGCCCGAGACGGCCCCGCCACGCCCGAAGAGCATCCACAGGAGGAGGAGGAGGAGGAGGAGGAGGAGGAGGAGGAGGAGGAGGAGGAGGAGGAGGAGGAGGAGGAGGAGGAGGAGGAGGAGGAGGAGGAGGAGGAGGAGGAGGAGGAGGAGGAGGAGGAGGAGGAGGAGGAGGAGGAGGAGGAGGAGGATGAGGAGGAGGAGGAGGAGGAGGAGGAGGAGGAGGAGGCCATGAGAGACGGCCCGGGCGAGCTTGCGGAAAGGGGCCCGAGAGAGCTCTGAAACGGCCCAAGAGAGCGCCAGTGAGATGCGCCAGGACGGCCCAAGAGATCCCAGGGCCCCCTCCTGCCTGGTCCACCACGGGCTGTCCATTACATTCAGGTGTATCGTTGTGGTGTCTACGTTGGTGTCTACGTTGTTGCCACTCTGCCAAGACAACTAGTTGGGGCACGTTTTCCCGCGGAGTGCATGTTATGCTGCGCCACGCGAAGCTTCACGGTGCGACAACATGCGATGTGGAGGCTTCCGAAGCCTTGACGCTTCCGTGAGGCCCCCCCGAGAGCCCCCGAGGCACCTCCTGGCCAGCCCCGGGACCGCTCACGACATTCGGCGCCGGCAGAACGGCGCGTGACCTACCTGGACGAGGATGTCGGCAGCTCGGCGAGCAGAGCGCCCATGCCGCCCAGGAACACGCTGCGGTCCACGGCTCCAGGCATCGGCTTCGAGGCGCAGTGTGTGGCGAGGCGGCCGAACACGCCCCGAGGCGGACTGCGCTACAGAGGGGGCTGCGATCTGCTTCCACGCCGAGCAGGCTCCTGCCAAGGAGAGGACAACAACCAAGTCTCGTGATCCGAAATGGCAGTTCGGCTAGCGGCGAGGGCTGGGACGGCCAAGAGGGCGCACCAGGCCAGAAAAGCCTGGGGCGTTGAGGCGGCCAAGGCGGCTGAGAAGGCCAGGAAGAAGGCGGAATCCAAGCGGGCGGAAGCAGCCACGGCCAGGGACGCCATCCCACCAGTCATCCCAATGGATGTCGTCCGAATCCAAGCGGGCGGAAGCAGCCATAGCCAGGGATGCCATCCCACCAGTCATCCCAATGGATGTCGTCCCAGTGGAGTCCAAGCAAGCAGAGGATGCCACAGTCGTCGCGGAGGCGTACCCGATACCGTCGAAAACACTACGGGGGCCTCCCTGGTTTGTGTTTCATGTGTCTCACTACGAGGAGAGTTGGCGATCTCACTACCTACATGTGGGGGCAACATCGGGAAAACCAACGGGGCGGCCATCGGGACGGCCACTCTTTTTTTACCCATCAACACATCGACCTGTCTAACTAACAATCGGTGCAATTTTCTAGCATCGCTATGAATCTGTCTGTTGGTTCCACGATATTGTATTATGTATCGGGACCCCGATTGGGACCACCATCGGGACAACCTTTCTTTGTATCAGCCAACGTATGTATCTGTCAGTGTCGTTACCTGTCGGTCTCATTCTCTATCGATCGATTTCACCATCCACCAATGCGCCGATCCCACGATTTATTTTTCGGGACAGCGATCGGGACAACCAGCGAGGCAGCCATCGGTCGAGTGTTGAGGGTTGAGACCGAAGTGAACCATGAGGTGCCCCAACCGGGAGTCGTTTCGGTTTGTGCGTGACGCGTGTGTGGGCGAGGCGAAGCTGCGCGAGTTTGTCCACTGGCCAGGGCCAGGTCACACAACAATGAGTCGCCCCGCGCGCTGGCCGTGGTGTGAGAGTTTTGTGCCGATGGTTGTGCCGATGGTTGTCCCGATGTTTCTCCCGATCGTTATCCCGATGGTTGTCCCGGTTGTCCCGATGGCTGTCATGATGGTTGTCTCAATGCTTTGCCCGATGGTTGTTCCGATGGTTACCCCAGTGGTTGTTCCCATTCAATGCTTACCAACCAATCGGGACCGAACCCACCGCGCCCTTGGAGGGCGTCGAGGGCCGTGGCCCGCGGCGGGCCCCCGACGGGCGCACGTTGAGCTCCTTGTTGGGCACTGGCAGGAGCGAGATGAACCAACGTATGCCAACGTGTCCGCACGCGCCGTCGATGTTTGTAGCGCGCGCGAGCTCGGCAGCTCTGACTGCTGCTGCTGCTAGCCAGGGAGTTGCGTGTCCGCGCTCGCCCTCCAGAGCCAGGCCCCGTTCCGACAACCATGGGCCATGGTTGTCCCGATTACTGTTCTGATGGTTGCCTCGATGGTTGTCCTGGTGGTTGTTTCGATGGTTGTCGCGATGGTTATCGCAACGGTTTTCCCGATTGTTGTCCCGACTGTTGCCCCGAAAGTTGTCCCGATGGTTGTCCCGATAGTTGTCTCGATGGTTGTCCCAAGTATTGTCCCGATGGTTGTCCCGAGGGTTACACCTCACCCTTTTCCTCAACAGCCTCCCGGCGCAAGAGGATGTGTCTAAACAACCTTATTCCGCCCGCCGCCTGCTGACCGCCGCCCACCTCATTCGCTTATCCCACTCCCACCGCCCCCTTCTACTCAACCTCTCCCTGCTCCAACACCATGCCCATCTACTCAACGGCCTCCGTCTCCAGCGCCACACCTATCACGTCCCGCTTCAACTTCAAATCGCAGCCTACTGCGCAGCGTCTGCATCCAACGCAACGCACACGTGCAGAGCCGTCCGATCGCACTGTGTCCTTCTTTTCTGCCTCAAAAGTACAAGAGGAACTGGATATTCAGAGTACAGACATCGTTTTGTACCTGTTACCGCGTATATGTGTATGTAGGTGTCTGTGCATATGTGTATATATGTATGTCACATCTGCGTTTGTGATGCTTCATGAGCATGAGTATTCGCCGAATGACCTGGAAACCATCCATACTGGAAACAAGAAAGGTGAACGATCGGCCACCTAGCCTGCGTCGGGCGGGGTAGGGATGTGTTCTTCGCTTCGTATGGCTACTGGACCCTCCAGCTCGAGGGGTGTCGTTTTCAGTATCAGTAAGTCTGGAGGCCGTCCAGAAGTTTGTGAAGCTGGCTCGCCAGTGTGAGGCAGAAGGTGTGTGCTTGGAGCCTTGGGGACCTAGCCCTAGAGGCGGTGTGGGCACCCAGGCTCGGGGCTCCCTGGTCGCCCCCCCTGCAGCCGGTAGGCTCGAACCCCTCGAGGGCACTCGAGGACCGCTACTGCCCCCCGCCCCAGGGCCCCGTTGGGCGACGCTAATCGGCGGCAAGCCCAGGGGGGAGGGAGAAGGAGCAGGCCTTCTCGAAAGGCGGTGGGGCTTCTCAGAAGCCCTCGAGCCTTCTGAGAAGCTTCCTCGGCCTTCTGAGGAGGCCCGCCCCTTTTCACTTCCCCCCCCTGGCTCGCCTCCGAGCTTGGGAGGCCTCTGGTGACTCGCGGCTGGGGTGGGGAACTCCCCGGCTGTCTTGCGCGGCCTGCGGGCGGGCAGCCCTTCGGGCCTCCTGGGGCCTGGCCTGCCATGGGGAGCCACGGGAGGGCTCGTGGACTCAGTGGTGGGCTGCCCGCTGGCAGAGGGAGGAGAGAGTGCCAGAAGGGCAGGGTAAACTGCGACACGCAGAGTTCTCGCGCGCGCGCGACAGTCGATAGAACAGGGGAAGCCATGGTGGCGATGATGATCATGGTGACGGTGAGGAGGAAGAGGAGGATGAGGCGCAGGGCGATGGCCACGAGCACCGGCTAGCACGGCCCGCATCTAGACGATGATCCACGCGTCAGGCACATAATATGAGTAGGAGGATCGGGAGTACGGGGATCATGATGATGAGGAGGCGAACGTGGGGATGATGATGATCATGATAATGATGATGATGATGATGATGATGATGATGATGATGATGATGATGATGATGATGATGATGATGATGATGATGATGAACATGATGCTGATGATAATGCTGATGCTGATGATGATTATGATGGCGATGCCGATGACGATGGTGGCGGTGGTGGTGGTGATGATGATGCTGATGTTGATGCTGCTGATGATGATGATGAAGATGATGATGATGACGATGGTGTTGGTGGTGATGATGATGCTGATGACGATGACGAAGACGATGACGATGGTGTTTGTGATGATGATGTTGATGATTCTGATGATGATGCTGATTATTGTATGATGAGGGTGATGATGACGATGCTTCTGATGAGGATGCTGATGATGATAATGAGGATGCTGATGATGCTAGATACCATGCTCAACATGATGATGATTCTGATGATGATGCTGAGGCTGATGCTGATTGTGGTGATGATTTGAATGGCGATGATGATCATGATTGATAATGATGATGATGATGATGATGATGATGATGATGATGATGATGATGATGATGAT